GTGGGCACGGCCCAGGGCGAAGGACGCCGGGGCTGAGCCCGGTGCAGGGGGTGGCAGGGACGCCCAGAGGAACTGGATCTCTCCTATTCCTTACAGTTGCTGACCGGGGTTAAGTGAGGTCTCGTCCACCACGCGGTCGTACTCCAGGAGGAACTCGTCCAGCTCCCCCGAGGCACCGAAGGCCCCCCACTCCGTGTTCACGCACATCCGCCCCTCGTCGCCCTCCACCAGCTCCACGTTGTGCATCTCCTCCATGTAGCAGGCGTTACAGCCCGTCCCTGCCAGGAACTGGGCGTGGGTCTGGGCAGGGGGGCAGCAGGGACACCCCCCAGCACAGCCCTCCCGTCCCAGCTGGGATAGAACTGGGATGGTGTTCTGGAGCAATGGGGAAGGACTGGAGGGGGTCCAGACGTGCCAGGGCAGGGGTTGGGACCCGTGTGGAGCCTGAGGGACGTTCCCCAGCCTGGTGACTGGCACCATGGTGTGCCACTGCTTCAAGGGTGGCTCCAGGACATGGGGGAAAGGCTTCAGACTAAAAAAGGGGAGATTTAGATTGGATACTGGGAAGAAATCCTTCCCTGTGAGGGTGGTAGGGACCAACACAGGCCAGAGCCACCAACAGCCTGGGGGCAGGGCAGCCCTTTGGGGACCAGCCCTGTTATGATGACCACCCCCTTTCCACTCCCAAAGTGCCCCAACCCACCATGCTGGCAATGCCATTTGCCATCGGGTGTCCCAGCCACCCTACACCTCAGCAGAGTGCCACTGCCACCCCCCTGTGGTTGGGGTGTCCCCCCAAAAGGACGGGGGAGCAGCAGGGGAGCGGGCCCACGGACAGTTCCCTGTGCCCAGGCACGTGTCCCTGTAGAAGGGGCATCTTACCCACAATCATCCCAACCTCGCACCGGTGATCTTCGTAGTAGCAGGAGATCATCGTGGCCACCGTGTCGTTCACCATCGCCACCACGTCCATCTCGAAGTCCTGGGGGACAGGGACCATGGTGGGCTCCTGGGGGGCCAGGCTGTCCCACAACAGCTGGATGGTCCCCAAGGGTGAGGGCCTGGGCACGTGTCACGCACACGTGTGTGCACACACGTGGCACAGCCCTGCCCAGAGGCACACTCGGCTCCAGCAGCCCCGTGGTGGGGACAGCTGCTCTCCTTCCTGGGGACACTGCAGTGGCCCTGTGGCAGGCACAGGCAGGCTGCAGAGCCCCTGGCAGGCACAGCCGGGGTGCCACGGGGTGCCAGCACGGTGACATCCTCTCACCCCTCGCCGTTTGATGGCGTCCCTCAGCAGCCCCACCACGTTGTTCCCTTCCGCGCCGGAGGCTTTGAAGCCCTTGGTCCAGTTCAGGAGGATGCCCTGCAAGGGGAGGGTCACACCGAAATGGGGCTGTGGGTGTAGCTGAGGCTTGGGGAGCCCCGAGCCCTCGTGCTGCCCGCACAGCCCCTCACCTTGTCGATGTCCTCGTGCCGCACGGGGAAGGAGAAGGTGAAGCCCAGGGGCAGCTTTTTGTGCTTCATCTGGTGCTTGTCCAGGAAATCAGAGATGCACTCGGAGATGTAGTCAAAGAGCTGGAAGACAGGAGGTCCAGCCTTTCCCAAGGGATGTCCCCACCCTCCCACTGCCATTGTGGCTGTCCCCCACCACGGGTTCCCCAGGCCTGGCCACCCCCAGCTTCTGCTGGCTGGATGAATGGGGATGTGTGCTCCCCACTGAAACACACACAAGGAAAGGTTCTGCGACGGGATGGGATGCCCCGTGTGCTCCACTGACCATCTCAGCCGTGCCAGTCATGGCGTCCTCCGGGATGGAGTACATCTGGTGCTTCGTCTTCACCTTCCACTGCCCCTCCTCGCCCTCGCCCACCTTCACCAGCATCACACGGAAATTGGTGCCGCCCAGGTCCAGCGACAGGAAATCTCCCACCTCTGCAAAGCCAGGGAGAGGGGGAGAAGGTGATGGGCTCTTGGTAGGCCCAGCCTTGCACGTGGAGCTGGAAGGGGTGGCACACAAGGGACTGGGGGTGGCACACAAGGGACTGGGAGTGGCACCCACCTGAGCCCTCGGGGGTGGAGCGCACATAGGTGGGCAGCATCTTCACAGAGGCCTCCTCGTGTGTCTCCAGCTTGAGCCCCCTGTCCATCTCCTTCTGCATCCGGTACATCACCTTCTTCAGGTCCTCCTCCTTCAGACGGAACTCCGACAGGATCTGCTCCACCTGCACGCAGCACAGCCTCAGCCAGGGACCGGGGATTTGGGGTGCAAGGGGCCTGAACTGCAAGAATTTCAGGAAACTCCAAGTTTCCCTTCCCCTGTTTTCACCCTGAAATGACTTATCCCGTCGCTCTGTTATTCTCCTGCTGAGCAGGGAATCCACAGGACCCTCATGAGGCACCAAGGCCCTTCTGGAGCTGCCTGCAGGACACCACGGTCAGCTCTGCTGTCCCTGGGCCCGGGGCTGGCACTGGCCTTCTGCCACCCCTGTCACCCAGCTGAATTGTTGGGGTGTAGAAGCCAGCACCATTCCAGCAGCGACCTGGGACCTCCCATCCTGGTCATTCCCAGCAAGGAGTGCTTCTGGCCGTGCCTCTGAGGAGCACAGCATCTCCCACCAAGGACACGGATCCTTTTATGATGAAGACGCTGGTGTGCCCTCCTTGCCCCCCTGGGAGCATCCCTCTCCCTGTACCCCACTGGGAATCGCGGGGTTCCACCCACCAACCGTGGGGCTGAAATGGGGCAGAGGGCAGGGACACTCCCGGGGATTGCTGCCTCGCCTCGCTGCCAGGGAGAGCCGCAGGGCCCACTCCAGGGAAGCACCTGGCGAGCAGGATCCGTGTTTATCCTCTCCGTAGCAGCCTCCATTAGGCGCCAGGGCTGGGGCCAGGGCTGTCAGATGGAGCCGGAGCTCATTAGTCACCGGCTCAGGTGTTTGCCTCGAGGCTGCTGCCTTTTCCTGACAGGTTTGGGGGGTAGGGGGCTCAGCAAAGCGTTTGGGGTGTGGTTTGGAGTGCCCCAGCTCTGGGGGCAGCCCTTGGCGTGGCTCAGTGCAGCTGTCCTCCATCCTGGCACGTCCCCTGGCCCCCAGGGCCGGGGCTGCAGCACGGAGCCCCCCAGAATGGGGCTGGGCACCCACGGCAGCTTGCCCTGATCCTGAGGGGGTTTGGCCCAGAACGATTGGGAAAATCCTGCCAGGAAAGCACGGAGCTGGGTCTGATCATCCCTCCTGCATGCTGATCCATCCCGTGGCACCACCTGGCATGGGAACCCCCAGTCTGCCACGGCCAGAGGGTGCCCGTGCCAAGGCTGGCACCCAGGAGCCCCAGTTTTATTTCTCCACCGGTTTTCCCATCTCAGCACCACGTGTTCCCACTCATCTCTCCACTCGCCCTCAAAACCACGGGTTTGGCCCTTCCCCGGCAGGATTTGGGTCTTCCCACGTGACGTTGTTGGCTCTCAGCTCCCCATGGAAATGGTGTGCTGCAATGCCTCCCACCAAAGGGACGAGCTGGGACCCCCGTGGCTGCTGGCTCCCAGTGACACCCATCTCCCTGGTCCAGCATGAGTCCCCTCGGTGTCCCCCTGGTGTCCCTTGGTGTCCCAGCTGGCAGCAGGGCATGTCTCACTGTCCTCACCCGTCACCCCCTGAGCTCAATCCATCTGGCAGAGGATCATTCCCACAAACATCTGGTTTTTTTGGCCGGGGATGAGCCCGGTGCCACCCAGCTGGGCGCCTCGGTGACAGCCAGCTGAAGGAGGTGACAGGCCCTGTGTCATCCTGGGGATGGCAGAACATCCCACAAACACCCCCAGCTCCACCACGAACGCTCCCAGCTCCACCACGAGCCCTGGGGCCTGTGCTGGGGGGTGGCCTCAGGGATGGAGACCCCCACCAGCCATGCCCTGGGCTGGAACCTCGGGAGCACCGGGGAAGGCTGGACCCTGTGAGGATCCCCACTCTTCCCCCAGCCCCTGAGCCGGGCAGCCTCACCTTCTCCCTCCTGCTGCTCTCCATCCTGGCTCGGTGATCCAGCATGGGGGCCGGCTGCGGGCCGAGCCGTGCCCCCCTCAGCGTGCCCACCGCGGTGCCAGGCTGCGGGCGAGCCCCTGCCCTGCCGCGGAGGCTGTCCGCGGGGCCCTGCGCTGCTCCGTGCCTCTCTCCACGCGCGGATGCTCCACTTTCGCCGCCCTACCTCATCCGCCGGCCCCGGGGGGCTCCGGCGTGAGGGGCAGGCGGCGGGGCCCGGGGCCCCGGCGGGCTCAGCCCCACATCCTCCGCTCCGCTCCCCTCCTAGCTCAGCCTCGAGAGCCGCGGCTGCCCTGGGGGGTCCCGGCCCAGCTCGGGGGGCTCCGGCAGCCCCTGGGCACCCCTGGGTGCGCTTGGCCCGGCTCGGGCAGGACGCTCCCCGCCGGCACCCCGCCCCGGGCCGGCCGTGCGCCCGTCGCCATGCCAACGGCTCGGTGGCCGTGGCAAGCACTCCAGCGGCCGGCTTGGCAACCGGGGCGCTCCCATGGAGACCGGGGAGCGGGGATGGCATGGGGCCGCCCATCGCCCCCCGGCCACCCCGGCGCCGGGAAATGGGGGGTCCCGCTGGGGAGGGGGGCCCCGAACCGCCCCCGGAGATGGGCTCGCACCGGCCGGGGTGGGAGGTGTGTGGTTTGCGGCTGGGTTTTTGGCGAGTGCTGAAGTGAGGGTTGTGTTGTGCTAGGAGGTTGTGAGGTATTGATTTTGTTAAGTAGTGTGTTAAATTTAAAAAATTATTCTAATTACATTACTATTTTTATAACCATTTTATTACAGGGGACAGGGCACACACAGGGACGGGGCACACAGGGGACAGGGGACACACGGGGACAGGGGACACACAAGGGACCCCCGCCCCACACCGGGACCCCAACCCCACAGAGAGACCCCGCCCACAGAGCCGAGCAGGCCCCGCCCCACAGAGAGACCCCGCCCACGGAGCCGAGCAGGCCCCGCCCCACAGAGCCGCGACCGCAGCGTCGGTACCGGGGCGGCCCCGGGGCCGGGGGCGGCCGGGGGCCGGGCTGCAGGGGGTTGTGCCGCGGGGTGGCGGCGTTGCGCTGGGTGGAGGGGCTGGGTTGTACTGGGGTGGGGTAAACTGGGGTGTATTGGGTTATACTGGGGTAAACTGGGTTGTACTGGGGTGTACTGGGGTGTACGGGTTATACTGGGCTGGGTTTCAGTGGGGTGTACTGGGGTAAACTGGCCTGTACTGGGTTGTACTGGGTTGTACCGGGGTAAACTGGGTTATACTGGGGCGCACTGGGATGAACTGGGCTGTACTGGGGTATACTGGAGCGGGTTATACTGGGTTATACTGGGCCGTGCGGGTTATCCTGGGGTTGGTTTTACTGGGTTTTTACTGGGGTGGGTTATACTGGGTTGGGGCGGGTTATATGGATACTTACTGGGGTGGGTTATACTGGGTTATACTGGGCCGTGCGGGTTATCCTGGGGTTGGTTTTACTGGGTTTTTACTGGGTTTTACTGGGGTGGGTAGCTGCTCCCTGTATTTTCCCTGCATCAGCCCTCCTGTCTGAGCTTGTCCCTGTCCCAGCCCTGTCCCTGTCCCTGTCCCAGCCCTGTCCCTTCAGGGGTGAGGACCCCAGCCCTGTCCCTGTCCCTGTCCCAGACCTGTCCCTGTCCCTGTCCCAGCCCTGTCCCCCCAGGACCCCTGCCCAGCCTGTCCCTGTCCCCCCAGGACCCCCCCAGCCCCGCCATGCGGCTCTACAGCCTCAGTGTCCTGTACAAGGGGGACCCCAAGGTGCGCCTGCTCAAGGCCGCCCACGACGTCTCCTCCTTCAGCTTCTTCCAGAGGCCCAGGTGGGTCTGGGCAGCCCTGCCCGGCCTGGGGGGGCTCTGGGGGGCTCTGGGGGATGCTGAGGGGGGGTCTGAGCCACTGGGGCTGCAGTGGCAGCAGGGAGAGGCTTTTCCTGACCCCAAAGGTGTCCCTCACAGCCTGCCCAGGCTGATCCCAGGCTGATCCCAGCCTGCCCAGGCTGTGCATTCTGGAACACAGCTTTATCTGGCTCCTGCTGGTTGTGTTTGGCTCCTTTCCCTGGCTGTGGGGTGACGAGGGCTCACTGAGGAACCTGTGGGACAGGCTGGGCCTGCCTCAGGAATGCTCTCCAACCTGGACAAACCTGGCTCAGGGGTGTTCTCCAAACTAGACAAGCTTGGCTTGGGGATGTTCTTCAAATTAGAGCAAGCCTGGTTTAGGGATGTTCTCCAGGTTAGACAAGGCTGGTTTGGGGATGTTCTCCAGGTCAGACAAGGCTGGTTCAGGGATGTTCTCCAGGTTAGACAAGCCTGGTTTAGGGATGTTCTCCCCATTATTCAAGCCTGGCTCAGGGATGCTCTTTGGCTTGGGCTCACAGGGTGCCTGGGGGTCAGACCCTTCCATCCCAAGTCCCTCCCTGCTGCAGCTGCTCCCAGCTCCAGGCCAGGCCGGGTTCAGAGGCGTTGCTGCTTTCTGCCCAATCCCCAAAAAGCAGATCCAGCCCACGGGCAGGAGGCTGGCCCGAGCTGGGGGCTCTGGGGGCTGAGGCACAGCCGTGTCCCCAGCAGTGTCCCCAGCCTGCCCTGGCCCCAGCAGTGTCCCAGCGTGTCCCAGGCTGTCCCCAAGGTGCCCTGTGCCCGTGTCCCCACAGTGTGCAGGAGTTCATGACCTTCACGAGCCAGCTGATCGCGGAGCGCTCGGCGCTGGGCAGCAGGGCCTCGGTCAGGGAGCAAGGTGAGAGCTTCCCCTGCCCCCACCCGGGGAAAAACCACCCCAAAACAGAGCCTGGGGGGCAGCTGGGGCTGCTGGGGGGGGTGAGAGCCTGGCACAGCGTGGCAGAGGCTCTGCAGGGGACCTAGGGGGGTTCTCCAGGGCCTGGAGAGGTTCTTCAGGTCCTGGGGGGGTTCTCAGGGTCCTGGGGGGGTTCTGTAGGGTTCTGGGGGGGTTCTCAGGGTTTGCAGGGACCTGCAGGAGTTCTCAGGGACCTTCAAGGACCTCCAGAGGTTCTCAGAGACCTGGAGAGGTTCTGCAGGACCTGGGGGAGTTCTCAGGGTCCTGGGAGGGTTCTCAGGGTCCTGGGGGGTTCTGCAGGACCTGGAGGGGTTCTCAGGGACCTTGGGGGGTTCTCAGGGACCTGGAGAGGTTCTGCAGGACCTGGGGGAGTTCTCAGGGACCTGGGAGGGTTCTCAGGGGTCCTGGGGGGTTCTGCAGGACCTGGGGGTGTTCTCAGGGACCTTGGGGGGTTCTCAGGGACCTGGAGAGGTTCTGCAGGACCTGAGGGGGTTCTCAGGGTCCTGGGGGCGTTCTCAGGGACCTGCAGGACCCACAGAGGTTCTCAAGGAACTTCAGAGGTTCTTGGGGACCTTCAGGGACCCACAGAGGTTCTCAGGGACCTGCAGAGGTTCTCGGGGACCTGCAGGCCCCACAGAGGTTCTCAGGGAGCTGCTGCAGTGCCTGTGCTCTCCCTGGCCCCCTCGGGACCCCCAGAGCTTCCCAGACCACCCCAGTGCAGAGTGGCTGTGCCAGCTTTGCCCTGCAAGCCCAGCTCCACATCCTGAATTCCCACCTCGTGCCAGCCTCCCTGTCCTGCTGCACACCCTCCTGAGCCCCAGCACGTGGGGGAGGCAGCCTGGACCGGCTGCTGGAGCCCTGGAATGACACCCCAGCCTTGTAATTAGTTAAAATGAATTACAATCAGGCTGAGCTCTTCCCCAAGTGGTTTTTATCCCTCTGGCTACCATGGCATGTCACTTCTGACACGTGTGTGCCCTGGCCACAGCACAGTTTGGAGCTGAGCCCCAAATGCTGAGCCCTTCCTCCTTTCCTGACAGAAAGTGCAGGTGCTGGTGGGGCCGTGCAGGGCGGTTTGGGGGAAGCAGAGGGGCAGCTCTGGGGTGCTGGGGTGGGCTCGGGGTGGCCCTGCCTGTGTGACAGCATTTCCCTGCAGAGTACCTGTGCCACGTGTACGTGCGGAGCGACGGGCTGGCTGGGGTGGTGATTGCAGACAATGAGTACCCCCAGAGGGTTTGCTTCACCTTGCTGGACAAGGTGAGGGCTCCTGCAGCCTCCCTGCCCTGCCCCACCAGGGCTTTGGGGCAGGCAGGGCTGCCCACCTCGGCCTGGGCATCGTTTGCCAAGACTGCTCACATCTGCTGGGGCTGCAGCCCCTTCCCCAGCTCTGTTCTGACACCCCCAGCCCCTTTCCCAGCTCTGGGCACCCCCAGCCCCTTCCCCAGCTCTGTTCCTGCTCTGGGTGCCCCCAGCCCCTTCCCCAGCTCTGTTCTGACACCCCCAGCCCCTTCCCCAGCCCTGTTCCTGCTCTGGGCACCCCCAGCCCCTTCCCCAGCTCTGCCCCTGGAACAGGGCAGTTCCTGTCTCCCTCAGGCTCCCAGAACTGGGCCCAGCCCTCGAGGGGAGGTGGCAGTGCCAGCCCAGGGGATGGTCACTGCCCTGGTACCAGCCCAGGGCTGTGCATGAGCTGGGAGCTCCCTTCCCAAAAACCTCCAGGTCTATTTGGATGAGCAGAGCCCTTGCAGCCCCTGTGGGCCCACGGCTGTGGCTCCTCACTGCTGCTTCCTCCCTGGCAGGTGCTGGAGGAGTTCTCCAGGCAGGTGAGCAGGATGGACTGGCCCTCAGGGTCACCTGCCACCATCAGCTACTCTGCCTTGGATGGATACCTCAGCAAGTACCAGGTGCAGAGCCCTGCAGGGTTCCTGTGTTCCCCCAGCCCTGGGGCTCTCTTCCCCTTCCCCTGGTGTCCCTGGGGTGGTGGCAGCTCTGTCACCCTGCTGTTTGTCCCCAGAACCCCCGGGATGCTGACCCCATGACCCGAGTGCAGGCGGAGCTGGACGAGACCAAAATCATCCTGGTGAGGCTGCAGAGGAGGCCCTGGGCTGCTTGTGGGGCAGGGTGGGGTCACCCCAGGCCCTTCCCAGAGACCTCCCTGGCCTGGGGGCTTCCTTTCCTCTTCCCCTTTTTGCTCCTTGGGCTTTTCCCAGCTGGACACAAGCACCAGGGCTCAGCCCTGCTCCCCATGCCAGCCTCCTCCCTGTCCCTGGCCAAGCTCCATCTCCCCTGGGGCTGCAGGGCTGGGGGGGCTGGCAGAAGGTGCCTGGGGTGTGCTGGCAGCTCCACCTCGTGCTGCAGGCTGCCCTGGGGCTGCTGCTGGGGCTCAGCACACGTTTGTCTGGCAGCACAACACCATGGAGTCACTGCTGGAGCGGGGTGAGAAGCTGGACGACCTGGTCTCCAAGTCCGAGGTGCTGGGGGCACAATCCAAAGCCTTCTACAAAACGGTGGGTGTGGGGTGAGCCCCTCCCTCGGGGTCATCCCTGGGGGGGCACAGCTCGGGGGGCCAGGCAGGGATCCCCCTGTGCTGCAGGGAGGGAGCTGGGTGCCCCAGGTCCAGCTGCAGGGCTGGGGGGTCCAGCTCTGGCCACAAGGAGAGGACCCCCTGGGCTCTCAGCCAGCACAGGGGCTGTGTGGGACCCCAGCTGGGACCCCCCAGACCCCCAGGCAGCTTCACAGATGGGTTTTCCTTCTCTTCTCAGGCCCGAAAGCAGAATTCCTGCTGTGAGATCATGTGACATGGAGCCCGGGGTCTGCACCTCCGGACCACCAGCCCTCCACGCCCCTCCACAGCCCCCCCAGGGCTGCTCCTGGGGCTGGGCCGGGGGTCCCCAGCCCCCTGGGCTGATGTGACTGTTGTCCACCTTGAGGGGACACCAAGGCTGGCACCGGGCCGGCACCCAGGGGGGGTGGTCCACATGGAAGCCCCCCCAGCCTCGCTGCTGCTGGGGCAGCTGGGACCAGGGGCTGCCTGGCCAAGCACTCCCCTGCCTTCACAGCCCCCCAGAAGCCTGGAGGAGCCCCCCACTGCTGTCCAGGGGCTGAGGGGGCAGGCAGAGCCCCCACTGCCAGCCCAGGCAGCTTTTATGTATTTGTGTCCTAAGGGTGAGCTGGGGGTGGGAAGGGGAAAAGGTTTTTTTGGGTGGGGGGTGCTCTCTGCCCTCCCTGGGCAGCTCCTCCCGAGCTTGGAGCTGTGTCCTGGTGCTGGGGGAGGGGGCTGCACCTCAGAGCCCCTCCCCTGCTCCCACCAGCCCGGGTGGGGGGCTCAGCAGCTGCCAGGGCCCCGCTGCCTCCTCTTCCTCCTCCCGGGGAAGGGCAAGGTCGGGCTCGGGCTGTAGCTGGGCTTGTTTCTGTGCCCTGGCTGCACGGCCAGGGGATAAAGTGGTCTTTGGCAATTCCTCTGTTCCTTTCTGCGGCGTCCCGGGTGGGATTTCAGACAGACAGACAGACAGACAGACACATCCTGGGCACCCAGGGGGACGGGTGCACCTGGCCTTGCCTCACTGCAGCGATCATTGGTTTTTCCTCATAATTTATTTGCAGTTTTCCCGAGACAAAAACGAAATCAGAGTCATCTTTTACACTTACAAGGCTCAGAAAGAAAAGGAGGGGCACGGGGGGCGGGATATGCTGGGGAGGGGGGAGACAGAAAAAGAATGAGAGAAAAGGGGAGGAAGGAGAAAAATTTTGGCAACGATCCACCAGCATTCATGGGACAGGAACAGCTCAGCTCCTCAACATACAGCGTTAGCGCCCGAGGGTTGCTCCCGCGCAAAGGGCATGCAGAGAAATCATCGGAATAATTAAAAAATAATTAATGTCCCCCGCCCCCCCCCTCCCCCCCAGCCAAAACCAGCCCTCAGCGTGGTGGGGATGCCCTGGGGAGTGCCTGGAGTGGAGCGAAGCCTCCCCGGGGTCGGGGGGCTGGGGGGGCCGGGTCCCCCCGAGCGCCGGCCGTGGGAGGGGGGTGCAGGGTGTGCTGCCGGTGCCCCCCGAGCTGGGGGTGCCCGGCGGAGCAGCCTGTGCCCCCTAAGAGACCCATTCTCTTAGTCTAAAGTGCTTTCGATGCTGCGTCAGTGCTGGCTGGATCGTCCTGAGCCCCCCACCCCCGGCCCCAGCACCCCCCGGCTGCCCCCTGACGTGGCACCCACGTCCCCCCTGCCAAATCCTGCCGGCACCCCGAGCTGGCACCTGTGGCAGGGGGTGCTGGGGACATGGGGCTGCCCCTGCAGGGTGAGCCTGGCAGTGCCCAGGCTCAGCGCTCCCAGGGCAGGGCTGGAGGGGAGAGAGTCTCTGTGTGTGTGTGTGTGTGTGTCCCCCCCCTCACCTCGCTCACCCCCTGGCAGCCCCCCGATGCTGGGGACCCCCGTGGGAATTCAAAAATAAATAGCTCTCTCTATGTACAGGGGCTGGGGCAGGACAGAGCAAAGCGGAGCCCAAAGAACAACATCCACCACCAGCGACAGCAACACGCCACGAGCACAGCCGGGAGGGGGGCCGGGACCCCCCTTCCCCCCCAGCAGAGACGGGCCAAGGGGGGGGGCTGAGCCCCCCAGCGCCCTCGCCTGTGGCCGAGTGGCTGGGTTGGGTTTGGGGGTGTGGGTGGGGGTTTGGGATCGGGGTGGGTTTTCCCCCTTTTTTTCTTTTTTTTTTTTTTTTTTTTTTTTTGTCTTTTTGTTTTCTGCAAACACAGGCACCGGAGGAGGGAGGGGGAGCAGGGGCTGGGGTAAAAGGGGGGGGACAGGCATGCGGACGCGTGCTTCGGGGGGGCCGCAGCTCCGGCTGCCGCTCGGCTCCCATCGCCGTCTCCGTCGGGCTGGAACCAGGACAGCCACCGCCAGCTCTGCGGGGACACCCCGATGAGCCACCCGCCAGCGCTGCCCGTCCCCGTGAACGCCCTGCCCGGCCTCACCTTCACTGCAGCGGGGCCACGGGGGCCCCCGAGCCGTGGAAGTGCACGTTCTGCCACTTGCCGTCGCGGCGGTGCCACACGCGCGTCTCCTCGGACTGGCTGGTGCGCGGCCGGCCCTGCGCGTCCAGGTACTGCGTCAGGCGGATGTAGGCGATGCACGCCGCGTCCTCGCCGATGACGTGCACGTGCGGGTTCAGGATGGTCGTGTGGATCGGCTTGTTGTTCTTGGAGAGCACTGCGGGGCGGCCGCGTCAGCGCCGCTGCAGCGGGGAACGGGCAGGGAACGGGCAGGGGAAGGGACGGGGAAAGGGACAGGAATAGGGCAGGGCAAGGGGACAGAGAATGGGCAGGGAAAGGGCAGGGATGGGGACAGGGAAGGGGTAGGGATGGGGGCAGAGAATTGGCAGGGAAAGGGAGAGGCAATGGGCAGGGATGGTGGCAAGGATGGGGATAGGGAATGGGGAAGGATGGGGCAGGGATAGGGACAGGGAATGGACAGGGAAGGGGCACGGATGGGGACAGAAAATGGGCAGGGATGTGGCAGGGAACAGGCAGGGATGGGGACAGAGAATGGGCAGGGAATAGGCAGGGATGGGAGCAGGGAATTGGCAGGGAACAGGCAGAGATGGAGGCAGAGAACGGGCAGGGATGGAACAGGGATGGGGACAGGGAACGGGCAGGGATGGGGACAGTGCAAGCAGACAGATGGCCCGGCAGGGGCAAGCTGGGGACAGGCAGGCGAGGTGACCAGGATGGGCAGGCAGTGGGCAAGAGAAGGAGGCAGGCAGGGAGCCAGGAGGGCTGGGGCTGGAGGGGAGAGGAGGGCAGGGCAGGACGGGCAGGGCAGCTCGGGTACTCACAGTTCTCGAAATAGAAGCGGTGGAAGTCCATCCCCTCCACCAGGTTGCCCAGTGCCTCGGGCTCAAAGGAGGTGAGCCCCGGGTCGCAGATCTTCCTGCAGGCAGCAGGTGAGAGTGGCCCCACCCCGCTTGGCCCCGCCCCTCCCGACCACACCCTGCTTGGCCCCGCCCCTCCCGGCCCCGCCCCACTCACGCGTAGGCCTCGAAGTCGCCGTTGTTGACGGCCTCGATGAGCTGCTCCGTGATCTTGATGATCTCCTGCTTGCGGGCTGGGGGCACGCCACCGTCACCGCCACCGCCACCGTCACCGCCCCAGCCCCCGGGGACACCGCGGGCGGGGGCGTGGGACGTGAAGGGGAGGCATGGGGACAGACACGGGGACGGACAGACAGACCTTGGGGGCAGAAAAACCTTGGGGACAGACAGACAGACCATGGGGACAAACACGGGGACCGTGGGGACAGACAGACAGACCATGAGGGCAGACAGGACAGACCACAGGGACAGACACAGGGACCTCGAGGACAGACACAGGGACTAGGGGGACAGATGGACACCCCCTGGGGACAGATAGGGACCCCCCCAGCTCTGCCACACCAGTATTCACACGTGTCACTGCTAGCCCAGTGCCACCCCTGCATGGCCCAGTGCCATCCCAGTGCCTGCCCAGCATGGCCCAGTAGCTCCAAGTGGCTCCCAGCCCCACTCCCCCGAGTCCCAGTACATCCCACTGCCATCCCAGCACACCCCAAACAGCCAGTGCCATACTGGTATGTCCCAGTGCCATACTGGTGTGTCCCAGTTCCATACTGGTGTTTCCCCGTGTCATACTGGTGTTTCCCAGTGCCATACTGGTGTTTCCCAGTGCCATACCAGTGCATCCCAGTGCCCTCCCAGTTCCATGCATCCCCATACATCCCAGTGCAATCCTAGTGCATCCCAGAGCTGCTCATGTGCTCTGTGTCCCAGTGCCATCCCACTGCTTCCCAGTGCATCCCAGTACACCCCAGTTCAATCCTCCTGCACTCCAGTGCCATTCCAGCTCCATTCCACTCCTCTCAGTCACACCCCAGAGTGTTCCAGTACCACCCCAGGGCATCCCAGCATGCCCCAGTTTACACCAGTGGCTCTCCAGAGCCACCCTACTGCGTTCCAGTGCAACCCAGTGCCAACCTACTGTGTCCCAATGCCCTTCCAGTATATTCCAGTTCACCCCAGTTCCATCCCATGCATCCCTGTGCATTCCAACACCGCCCATTTCCATCCCAGTATGTCCCAGTACTACTCCAGAGTGTAAGAGTTCACTCCAGTTTGTGTCAGTGACTTCTCACCACGTCTCAGTGCCAACACTGTGTGTCTCACTGCTATCCCAGGGCATCCCAGTACAGCCCAGTATGGCCCAGTTCTACCCAGAGCAGCTCTTGGTCCCACCCCGCTGTGTCCCAGTATCACTGGTGCCATCCCAGTGCCTTTTCAATAACCCCACTGCCATCCCAGCATGTCCCAGTCTATACCATTTCCATCCCAGTGCCTCCCAGTGCCCCCCAGTGCATCCCAGCATGCTCCCAGTGCCATCCTGGTGCCATCTCAATGAATCCTGGTGTCAGCCCAGCACAGCCAGATCAATTCCAGTGTGCTGAACACTCTCCCAGAAATGTCCCAGTGCCACCCCAGTGCATCCTGTTGCCATCCCAAATCCCACCCAGTGCATCCCAGTGCTGCCCCAGCACCCCAGAGTGCACCAGCTGCACCTTGGTGCCGTGCCACTCCCAGCCCAGTTCATCCCAGTGCAATTCCAGTGCAATCCTGGTGCCAATGCATCATCCCAGCTCTACTCCAGTGCATTCCACCCAGCACGATGCTCCCAGTGCATCCTCGTGCCACCCCAACGCGCCCTGGTGCCATCCCAGTGCATTCCAGTGCCATCCCAGTGTATCCCAGTGCCACCCCAGCTCTGTCCCCGTGGATTTCAGTGATGCTCCAGTGCATCCCAGTGAACCAAATGCGTCCTGGTGCCATCCCAGTGCCATCCCAGTGCCATTCCAGTGCACCCCAGTGAACCAAATGCGTCCTGGTGCCCTCCCAGAGCCATCCCAGTGCCAGCCCAGTGCCATTCCAGTGCATCCCAGTGAACCAAATGCATCCTGGTGCTATGCCAGTGCCATCCCAGTGCCATCCCAGTGCCATCCCAGTGCCATTCCAGTGCACCCCAGTGAACCAAATGCGTCCTGGTGCCATCCCAGTGCCATCCCAGTGCCATTCCAGTGAACCAAATGCGTCCTGGTGCCATCCCAGTGCCATTCCAGTGCACCCCGGTGCATCTTAGTGTCACCCAGTGCATTCTAGCACATTCCCAGTGCATCCCAGTGCATCCTTAGTGCCACCCTAGTGCATTCCACAACCGCCCATCACAGTGCCACCCCCAGTGCACCCTGAAGCCACCCCGGGTCACCCCAGCACCATTCCAGATGCACACAGGTGCTCCCCCTAGCACCACCCCAGTGCATTCCGAGACCCTCCCAGTGCATCCCAGCGCCATTCCAGTGCAACCCAGTGCATCCTAGCACCCCCCCAGTGCACCCCGGCCGCCCCCACGCCCGTCACCTTTGGTGTCCTCGTCCTCAATGGTGGTGTTGGTGCTGTCGGAGGACTCCTGCTGGCGGGAGGGCGGCGGTGGGGGAGACACAAACAGGGGGGGTCAGACCTGGCGCCGGGGAGGGGACGGGGACAGGGGGGGACAGGCCCGGGCAGGGCTCGGCAGGAGCCCGGCGATGCTGGAGGGCGCGGGGGGGACCCCGCTGGCACGGGTGCCAAGGCTGGTGCTGGGGGAGGATGGAGCGGGAGGCGGGCAGCGGTACCTTGGCGCCGTCCCCGGGGTTATGGATTACGGTACTTTGAGGCTCCTAGGGCAGAAGGGAGAGAGACAGGCGGGGTGGGGGGAAGCGAGAGAGCCCGGAGGGGACAACGAAAGGGGGACGGACGGATTGAGCAGCACGTGGACAGGGGCGAGGAGAGACCCAGAGCGGATTCGGGAAGGGGATAGAGAGGGGGGAGAGAAGCAGAGAGTCATTAGTCCAGCAAAGCCAAATGGTTTAATTCACAGACATGGAGGGGGGAAGAAAGGGGGGAAAGAGGTGGGCAGAGCCGGGGGAGAGACGCAGTGAGGCCAAAAGGATGGGCTGGGCTGGGGGGCAGCTCCGTGCCCCTGTCCTGCACCCCGGTGCCCAGGGGCTGCACTCACCATGCATCCGAGCATCCTGGGCACCCCTGTGCCTGAATCCCAACCATCCTGCTGCCCTGCCTGCATCCCGAGCACTGCCTCTATCCCTCAGCTTGCCCCCAGAGCCAAAAGGATGGGCTGGGCTGGGGGGCAGCTCCGTGCCCCTGTCCTGCACCCCGGTGCCCAGGGGCTGCACTCACCATGCATCCGAGCATCCTGGGAATCCCTGGGCCTGAATCCCAACCGTCCTGCTGCCCTGCCTGGGGCACCTGCGTGCCCCTGTCCTGCACCCCGGTGCCCAGGGGCTGCACTCACCATGCATCCGAGCATCCTGGGCATCCCTGGGCCTGAATCCCAACCGTCCTGCTGCCCTGCCTGCATCCCTGTGCATCCCTCAGCCTGCCCCCAGACCACTGCTGTGCCTGCATCCCAACTATCACTGCCTGCATCCCAAGCGTCCCTGTGTCTGGATGCTGAGCATCTCAGTGCCCACGTCCTGAGCACCCCCATCCACAGCTCACCGTGTGGGGTGGGCACCCCTTTCTCCATATCCTGCACGCACTGACCAGCCAGGCTCACCTTCCCCAGGGCACAGCACTCTGTGCCAGCTGGGCATCATCCTGCCTGCATCCTGCCCTCATGGCACCACACCCCTGCCCTTGTTGTTGTGCCATAAAGGTCACAACGGGCACACCTGCACCCTCATCCTGCACCCACCTTGCTGCTGGCATTGCCACAGCACCCCCAAATCCAGCACCTGCTCTTCCAGACAGCCATGCCTGTACTGTGCCAGCTGGGCAGGCCTGGATCCTGCACTTACCTCACCTGCAAGGTCAGTCAGCAGCCCTGTCCTTGTGACCTGCACCTGCCTCGCCACTGGCACCGCAGGGTGTCCCCACCCCTTCCTTCAGCCACCTCCCCACCTGTGCCACCAGGCTCCTCCTGCCTATGGCTGGTCCCCATTATGGGACAAGCACCCACCTTGCTCCCATACTCGTGTCCTGCACCCACCTTGCTGTCCCCACGGCACAGGACATCCTTACCCTGCAGCCACCTTGCTGTCCCCATGGCAGGAACATCTCTGTGTCCGTGTCCTGGACCTACCTTGTCCCTCCGTGGGACACCCGCGTGACCGTGTCCTGCACCCGTGTCACTGTCCCCACGGCTGAGGGAGACACGGGGCTGTCCCTTCACCCACCTGCTCTGTCCAGCGGGGTCACCCCGTGCCCAGGTCCTGCACGCCCCTTCCCACAACGGGACACCCCCTCCCCAGTGACCCAGGACCAGGCGTGGGGGGCACGCGGCGATGGATGGGGTGGGATGGGATGGGATGGGATGGGATGGGATGGGATGGGATGGGATGGGGTAGGATGGGATGGGGTGGGATGGGATGGGGTGGGATGATGGGATGGAGCTGCCGGGTGGGGGTCTGGGGGCGCAGGGCAGGGGGCACCTACCAGAGCAGTGGGTGGGAGGGTCCCCTTGGGGCTGGTGACGCCGGCACTGCCTTTGGTGCTGTTGGTCTGGGGCTGCAGGGACACACGGAAGGGGCTCAGTGGCTCCGTGGAGGGGGAAGGATCCCCCCCTGGACCCCCCAGCCTCCCCAGCCCCTCACCTTCACGCCGTCCGCCTTCTTGTTCAGTAAGCTCTTAGCTGCTGCGGGGGGAGACAGAGTCAGTGCTCCCCCTGCTCAGGGCACGCTGCAGGACCCCCCAAACCCAGACTCCTCCCCCCTGAGCCCACCCCGGTGTCAGAGAGGGGAGCACACGAGCAAGGCGCTGTCCCCGTCCTGGGGGAGGTCCCCATTTCAGAGGGGTGGTCCCCATGCAGGGAGGGGTGTCCCCATTCTAAGGGGGCTCCATTTTGAGGGGTGTCCCCATGCTGGGGGTGTTCCCTTACAGGGGGGAGGCCCCATGCTGGGTGGGGTGTCCCCATCCTAGGGAATCCCCCATTTTGGGGGGGTTCTCCATGCTGGGAGGGGTGTTCCCCACCTGGAGGAGTCCCCAACCTCAGGAAGGTCCCCGTCCTGGGGGAAGAGAGCATCCCCACCCAGGGAGGGCCTTCCCCAACCTTGTGGGGCCATCCCCATCCTGGGGGGTGTCCCCCTCCTAGTGGGAGGTTCCCAAGCTCAGGGGGGTCCCCAACCTTGGGGAGCTGTCCCCACCCTGGGAGGGATGTCCTCAACCCGTGGAGATCCCCATCCAGGCAGGGTGTCCCCATCCTGGAGGGAAGGGCCCCCCAAACTCAGTGGCTCTCAGAGCGGGGGAAGGAGGTGCCCCCAACCTGAGGGGGGTCCCCATCCTGGTGGCCCCCACGTGGGGGGGGAGGGCTGGCTTACCTTGGAGAAATGCAGAGAGGAAAGCGAGAGAGAGGAGTGGGGAGGGGGGCAAGAGAGAAACGGGGAGGGGGGGAGAGGAGGAAAAGGGGAAAAACATAAAAAAAGAACATAAAAAAGATGAGTTGAGTACAGGGGGCGGGGACAGCCGCCTGTGCCCCCCCTGTCTCCCTGGAGGGGGGACAAGGACGGGCACGGGGATGAGCATCTGTCACTGCTACCACGATCTCTGGCCACTGGGGGAATAGGGGGCGACGGGGACACGGTGGGACACGAGTGGCTGTGGAGGGCAGGGGGCGTCACCTCGAGCATCCTCGTCATTCCTCCACACCGAGGGACCCCTCCCCTGGTTGGCGTCACAAGTCGGGGGGAGATGTGTGGTGACAAGTCCGGTGACAGCAGGGTGGCACCCCTGGGCACCGGAGGAGGGGGAGGTGACCCACACATCCCTCCCCCGTGGGAGCTGTGTCTGCTCAGGAGTCCCTAGCGGGGCGTCCCCAAGGGTCCCGGTCCCTCCTCCGAAAGCAGGCGGGCGCTGAGAGGTGGGGGTTTAAACCAGAGCCAAATTGGGGGGGCGGGAGAGGGGGACCCCTGGCAGGGGGGCCAGTGGTAGCCCTGGCTGTGGGGGTGGTTTAAGACCCGCCGAGTGTTTCACGGCACCACAAACACCGGCTGCAGCTCTCAGAAGCCGTGGGGAGGCACATGCTGGGGGCCATGCGGGGGGCACATGCAGGGTGGGGACGCAGGGGGGGCACGGGGGGACACAGGACATGCAGCCCGTCTGCCCCCCCCCTCCTCCATGCACCGTGTGCCCCCCCTGTGTGCAAGAGGGGGGTGGCAGCAGTGGGGGATGCACCCCAAAATCATCCCCCCCAACCCCAGCTCCTTGTATTGACCCCGATGTGGGCTGGGGGTGACACCAGCGTGGAGCTGGGGATGTCACCAGTGAGCACCTGGGGGTGACACCAGCGTGGAGCTGGGGATGTCACCAGTGAGCACCTGGGGGTGACACCAGTGAGCACCTGGGGGTGACACCAGCGTGGAGCTGGGGGTGACACCAGAGTGCACCTGGAGGTGACACCAGCATGGAGCTGGGGATGTCACCAGTGAGCACCTGGGGATGTCACCAACGTGGAGCTGGGCATGTCACCAGCATCCACCTGGGGATGCCACCAGCCTGCACCTGGGGATGTCACCAATGTGCACCTGGGGATGTCACCAATGTGCACCTGGGGATGTCACCAGAGTGCACCTGGGGATGTCACCAGAGTGCACCTGGGGTTGCCACCAGCCTGCACCTGGGGGTGCCACCAGCGTGTCCCCTCCAGGAACCACCTGCCCAGGTCGGGCACTCAGCAGCCCCGCCTCGGGGGTGGGGGCTGCTGCAGAGAGCCCTGCCCGGGGGCAGCAGGGGGACAGCGGCGTGTCCTGGTGCCAGCGGGGGGATGGAGAGGCTGCGGGGGCAGTGCGGTGCCGGGGTGGGGAGGGGTGGGGGGCCATGCATGCGCTGCCATTTCCGAGGAGGGCGCCCGAAACCCGTTGGGGAGGTGGGGAGGCAGGGAAGAGGATGGTCGGGAGAAGGAGGATCTGGGGACACACAGAGACCAAGCGGGGCTGGGACGGGGGGGGCCCTTTGCGGACGCGTCTACCTTGTTCCACCAGCCCCAGGGGGGCCCCGGCAGCGGCCGCCGACATGGTGGGAGGAGCGGTGGTCTGTCTGCCCACTGCGGGCCGGGAGAGAGAGAGAGGGAGCGGAGCTCCTGTTAGGGGGGCGCGGAGGGGCTGCAGCCGGGACCCCCGCCGTCCCCCCCCCCAGAGAGAGCTCTCGGGGCGCCCATCACCCTGGCCTCGGGCCGGGGGGGGCTGGTGTTGTCGTGTCCCCCTCCCCGTGTCGCCCCCCCTGCCAGCCGGGGGGGACACACGGGGAGCGGGCACTACCTGCTGCTGTGTGCGTGGGGCGGGGGGGCCGCGTCCTGCCCCCACCTGGGCTAGCACATGCCCCGTCCTCACCGATGGGGGGGAAAAAATGGGTGGGGGGGGTTAAGGAAGGGAGGGGAGAAAGAGAGAAAGACAGCGAGATAGAGAGAGGGGGGCACCGGCCCGGGGGGGGGGCGTGGAGGGGGGGGCTGTGGCCCCCGGCCCCCCCGGCGGGGCGTGGAGGGGGGGACTGTGGCCCCCGGCCCCCCCGGCCACGGGGAGCCCCCCCTTACCTGAGAAGTTCCTGGTGGCCAGCATGGTGGTGAGGATGGCACCCTGTGGGGAGGGGCAGCGTGAGAGCCAGGGGAGGATGGAGGGGGACAGATGAGGGGTGGGACAGTACAGGAGGGGGCCCACAGCACTGGGAATTGGGAATTATTGGGAACTGGGAACTGGGAATTGGAAATTGGGAATTGGAAATTGGAAACTGGGAATTGGAAACTGGGAATTGGGAATTAGGAATTGGAAATTGGGAACTGGGAATTGGGAATTATTGGGAATTGGGAATTGGCAGAGGGGTTTGCAGGACGAGGGGCAGGATGGAGCCCTGGAGCAGGCAGTGGGGCACAGGGTGTGGGTTGTGGGGCAGGGGCAGGGTGGGACCGTGCCACACTCTGTGCCACTGGGATGGCACCAAAGGCAGCAGCAGGGCACCAGGCACAGCAGTGGGGCTGCAACCCCCCATGGGAAGGGACTGTGCCCCATGGAAGGGCACGGGAAGGCCCTGAGGGGTGCTGGGGCAGGGGGCAGGGGTCCCCCAGGAGAGCCCCAGGGAGGGGCAGGGTGGTGCTGGCAGGACAAGCACTGTCCCCAGCAGCCCCCTCACCTTGAGCTTCCTCCGGGCGTTGAACTTTTTCAAGCACTCCACTGTCTCCTGCCTGTGCATCATGGAGGCCACGGTGGAGCGTTGCTGCGGGGGACAGCGGGGTCAGCACGGGGTGCCAGGGCCACTGGCCTGGGCTGCCACCCCCGGGGGGACACCGGGCACTTACGCAGACCCACGGGTGCTTGAGGGCCTCGTGGGCTGTGATGCGCTTGGCGGGGTTGATGGTCAGCATCTGGTTGATGAGGTTTTTGGCTTCGGGCGTGACCGTGTCCCACTCGGGCGAAGGGAACTGGGGGAGCACAGGGACACGGGGGTGACAGCTGTGGAGGGGCAGCCCCATGGCGTCTGTGCCGCTCCACACCCCCAGCCAGCCACCAAAGCCACCACGGGCTCTGCCTGCTGAGGAGAGCTGCGGGTCCCAGAAGGTTCCAGAGCTCACATTATACACCTTGGTACTGGGCACTTACATCGTAGGCCCCAGCCTTGATTTGTTGGTAGAGTTTGTGCTGGTCCTCGTCCCAGAACGGCGGGTAGCCCACCAGCAGGATGTACAGGATGACCCCTGAGCCAGGGAGAGTGGGGTTAGGGCAGTGCAGGGACCCCAAAGCACCCCAGGCTCCCTCCAGCCCTGCGGTGTCCCCGTGACAAAGGGATCATTCCCAACGTGGGCTGTCCCCTGTGCTGCCAGGGTGGCACAGACAGGGGACAGCGTGGCACTGCCAGGGCACATGGCACGGGATGGCCCCAGGATGGGGTCAGAGCTGGAGCAGGAACTGGGACCAGCATAAAAATGGGATGGGAAGGAGGGTGATACAAGGATGGGAATGGGATAAAACTGGAATGGAGCCTGGAAAGTGCCAGAATGGGAGCGGGATGGGATCAGAAAGGGACTGGGCAGTGATGGGGCAGGGATCAGGATGGGACTGGGCAGGGGATGGGCAGGGACTGGCTCTTACCACACGCCCAGATGTCCACTGGTTTGCCATAGGCCTCTTTGCGCAGCACCTCGGGGGACAGGTAGCCAGGTGTGCCAGCAAATCCTGGGACAGGGACACGGAGAGGGTGAGGAGACAGGTGAGCCACCAGGGGAGGGGACAAGGACACGGGACTGGGACAGGGGGCAGGATGTGCTGGGAGGGGCGGGCACAGAGGATGCTGGGGGCACAGGGGCACGGTGGGTATGGGACAGGGCAGGGTGGGCACAGAGGATGCTGAGGGCACACGGGCATGGACATGCTGGGAATGGGACAGGATGGGGTGGATGCTGTGGGCACAGGGGCACGGTGGGTATGGGACAGGGCAGGGTGGGCACAGAGGATGCTGAGGGCACACGGGCATGGACATGCTGGGAATGGGACAGGATGGGGTGGATGCTGTGGGCACAGGGGCACGGTGGATATGGGACAGGGCAGGGTGGGCACGGGGCAGACACAGCAGGAACGGAGCAGGGACTCGGGGGACATGGAGGGACACTGCAGACACAGGGCAGGGGCTGTGGGGGGCAGGGGGGCAATGGCACTCACCAAACCAGGCCTGCTGATCCCCCTGCACCTCGATGGCGAGGCCAAAGTCTGCCAGCTTCACTGCTGCCCCTTTGCACTTGCTGGCCAGGAGCAGGTTCTCGGGCTGCGCGGTCACCGGGCACGGGCAGCACCGGGCACAGACACGGGGGGGGACACTCAGGGTCTTCCTGTGCCTCGCTGGGCTCATCCCAGCATCCCCCCCATCCCACCCACCCTCCTGTGCCCTGCCCTGAGCCCCCAGCCAGGCTCCAGCTGCTCCCAGCCCCGTGCCCCCCGCGCCAGCAGCTCACACTCCCCCCGGGGCAATGTGAGACCCCCCAGCAGCACACACCCTGCCACAGCTGGGGCACACGTGTGCATCCCCTGGAAAGGCAGATGGCAGTGCTGAAGGCTGAGGGGATCCCCAAAGCCCAGCACGATGTCAGTGAGTCCCCAGAAGCCACCAGGCCACCCCCAGCTTGTGGAACTGGGCAGGGGGACAGGGACGGCTGGGGGTGGGGGGACATGCTTACCTTGAGGTCCCTGTGGACCACCCCCATCTGGTGACAGTGCAGGACAGCCTCCAGGATCTGCTGGATGCAGTGGCTGCGTGCAAACGGGAGGGGGTCAGAGGCACACTGCCCCCCACCTGCCACACCCCTGTCCCCCACCTGCACCTCCAAACCCTCCTGCACCCGGGGGGGGCTGGCAAAAACAACAGTGACCTCGGGTTTGTGTGCAGGACAGCCCCTCTGTGCCCTGCCAGGGGGTCAGCCTTGGGGCATCACCCCTGGGGGGGTCACACAGAGGGGTCACCCTCGGGGACAGCCCCACCAGGGGTGGGTCACTGCCCAGGGGACGCCTGTGGGGGTGTCACTGCCCGAGGAGGGGCCATCCCTGAGGGTGTCACTGCTTCCTGGGGCACATCCCTGCCTGGGAGTGACCCCTCGGGGATCACCCCTGGGGTGGCACCCCAGGGCTGGCACTGACTGGGGTCACAGCTGTGGGATCATCCCTGGGGGATCACTGCGTGGGGGGCATCCTGGGGGTCATGGTCACTGCCTGGGGGTCATCCTAAAGGGCATGGCCACTGCCTGGGCATCATCCTGGGGGTCATGGTCACTGCCTGGGGGTCATGGCCACTGCCTGGGCATCATCCTGGGGGTCATGGCCACTGCCTGGGGGTCATGGTCACCACCTGGGGGTCATGGTCACTACCTGGGGGTCATCCTGGAGGGCATGGCCACTGCCTGGGGGTCATGGCCACTGCCTGGGGGTCATCCTGGGGATCATGGTCATTGCCTGGGGGGCATGGTCATTCCTGGGGGTCATCTTGGAGGGCATGATCACTGCCTGGGGGTCATCCTGGGGGTCATGGTCACTACCTGGGGGTCATCTTGGAGGGCATGGCCACTGCCTGGGGGTCACAGTCACTGCCTGGGGGTCACAGCCACTGCCTGGGCACCCCTCAGTGCCCACCAGGTGAGCTCCAACCGTGGCACAGAGCCACGGGGGCCACCCCAAGGGTGCTGTTGTGCCCACCCCTGTCCCCCCCCGGGAGCCCCCCATCCCTGCTGCCGCCCAGACACTGGGATCCCCCAGACAGGACTCACGGGGGAAGGGGGGAACAGGGCATGGGGGGGCGGATGGAGACGAGACAAGAAAGAAAGAGGGAAGGAGCGAGGGGATGAGAGCCTGAAATGGGGGTGAAGGGGGGCCCCGCCTGGCTGGGGGAGCAGGGGGGGTGGGAGGAAGAGGCAGGAGAGGGGGGTGGGAGGAGAGGAGGCATTTCGGGGGCAAGGAGGCAAAACAGAGGGCAAGGGCCGGGGTGGGGCAGCGAGCGGAGGGCAGCGGTGGGACGGACGGACACACAGATGGAGGGGGGGCAAAAAAGGGGGGGTCAGGGAGAAAAAAGAGTGAGGAGAAAGGCCCACAGCGGGGTCCTGAGGAGCGGAGCGGGGCCGGGAAGCGGGGGCAGCGAGGGGGAAATGGCCCCCCCGGCCCCCCCCAGATACTGACCTGCGGCTCCCTCTGCTCAGGGGCAAAGTGATGGGTGGGAGGAACGCGGGCAAAGAGCTCATGGGGGGCACAGGGACGGGGCGGGGGGCGGAGATGGGGGGAACGAGAGAGGGGGAGAAACAATGTTGTGAAAGCCCAGAGACCACGGGGAGGGGCACACGGCGGCACACAGGGCACTGGGGGGCTGGGGGACAGCACACCAGGGGCCCTGGGGACCCCCACTTGCCACCAGCACCCCCCTGCACAGCTCACGACAGTGCCGGGGGGGGCAATGGGGGGGTGGGCGGTGGGATATGGGGGTGCCCCAGCTGGGGGCCCCACCCCACCCAGCAGCAGCACGGAGCCAGCGGAGGGGTGACAGGAGCACGGGGGCTAAGGGGGTGCACCCCCATCCCGCTGGGTGCCCCCCTGCCTGCCTTGCTGCAGCTGCCCCGTCCCTGCAGCCCCCCCAGGGCACAGGGCAGGGTGGCTGGGGGCGTCCAGGGCTTTAGGGGGGTGCTTGGAGGGGGGGAAGGCTCACCTGGCGTCGGCCTCGCTGTAGTACTCCCGTGCCACGATGTCCTCAAAGAGCTCTCCGCCCGTCACCCTGGAACACAGCCGGGCACCGCGTCACCCCGAGAGCCCCAGCGCCCCCCGAGACCCCCCCCAGCCCTGGCAGCCCCCTGCCCCACTCACAGGTCAAAGACGAGGTAATGGAAGCCCTCCTCGGAGATGCTGTCGTGGAGCCGCACTGTGGGGAGCGCACGGGGACAGGCACGGGCTCAGTGCCAGCCCCGGGTGCCCCGTCCCAGCCCCTGCAGGTGGCACCCGCGGGTGTCTGTGCCACCCCCGGGGCGTCCCCGGGCGCTGGGAGCCCCCAGCCCCCGGCCACTCACCGATGTTGGAGTGCTTGAGCAGCCGGCAGATCCGCGCCTCGCGCTCCAGCTTCTGGTGGTCTGGGGGGGCAGTGGTCAGGGGGCGCCTGCCCGGACCCCCCCAGCCCCCCAAACCCGCCCCCAGCCCGGCCCCAGCGAGGGGAGCACACCTGGCCCTGGGGGTGTGCGCTGCGGGCAGGGCTGGGGGCTGCACCTGCGGGCTGTGCACGCGTGTCGGGGCGTGCAGGGGTGTCAGGTGTGTGCAGGTGGGGGGGGTGGGCATGTGGGTACAGGCAGGAACACGCTGCAGGTGTGTGCAGGTGTGCACAGGTGTGTGCAGGTGTGCACAGGTGTGTGTGTGGGTACAGGTGTGTGCAGGTAGGGGTGGTGGTGGTCTGGGGGGGCAGGGGTCAGGGGGCGCCGGCCCGGACCGCCCCAGCCCCCCAAACCCGCCCCCAGCCCGGCCCCAGCGAGGGGAGCACACCTGGCCCTGGGGGTGTGCGCTGCGGGCAGGGCTGGGGGCTGCACCTGCGGGCTGTGCACGCGTGTCGGGGCGTGCAGGGGTGTCAGGTGTGTGCAGGTGTGTGCAGGTGGGGGGGGGGGCATGTGGGTACAGGCAGGAACACGCTGCAGGTGTGTGCAGGTGTGCACAGGTGTGTGCAGGTGTGTGTGTGGGTACAGCAGGCACACGCTGCAGGTGTGCACAGCTGTGCAGGTTCACCTGTGGGCCCATGTGTGAGGCTGTGCATGCCTGTACACAGGTACAGATGTGTGCACGTGTGTGCAGGTTCACCTGTGGCTGTACCTGTGATGGGTGTGCGTGTCCTGCAGCTGTGCACACACGTGAGTGTGCCTGTAGCTGTGTGTACCTCTGTGTGCTCCGTGGCTGTGTGTGCACAGGTGTGTGCGTGTGGCTGTGCCTGTGTTTGTACGTGACGTGGAGTGTGCAGCTGCTCCCTGTGCGTGGTGGTTCCTGCATGTGTGTGCAGGTGTGTGCAGGTGTGCAGCTGCACCTCTGGATGTGTCTAGTGTGCAGGCGTGTGCAGGGGTGTGCAGGGGTGTGCGGGGGTGCATGTAGGGGGGGGGTGGGCATGTGGGTACAGGCAGGAACACGCTGCAGGTGTGTGCAGGTGTGCACAGGTGTGTGCAGGTGTGCACAGGTGTGTGCAGGTGTGCACAGGTGTGTGTGTGGGTACAGGTGTGTGCAGGTAGGGGTGGGGTGTGCATGTAGGTACAGGCAGGAACATGATGCAGCTGTGCACAGGTGTGTGCAGGGGTGTGCAGGCGTGTGCAGGGGTGTGCAGGGGTGTGCAGGGGTGCATGTAGGCGTGGGGTGGGCATGTGGGTACAGGCAGGAACACGCTGCAGGTGTGTGCATGTGTGTGCAGGTGTGTGCAGGTGTGCAGCTGCACCTCTGGATGTGTCTGCACTCAAGGGCACATGGACACGTGCACAGGTGTGCACACAGCTCACACACACACAGAGCTCACACACACACATAAACACACATGTGTGCACTGCTCACACCTGTGCACACACATAAACACACGTGTGTGCACTGCTCCACTCACTGCTCACACCCGTGCCACAGCTCACACACACACAGCTCACACACGTATGTGCACTGCTCCATTCACTGCTTACACACACACCTGTGCCCACAGCTCACACACACACATAAACACACGTGTGTGCACCGCTCCACTCACTGCTCACACCTGTGCACACAGCTCACACACACACAGCTCACACACACATGTGCACACACAGAACACCCCCCCGTGCCACTCTGCTGCCTCTCCCCCAGGTGCACGCCCCAAACGTGCCCACCCCCGCGCTGTCACACATCCCACACCTGCCAACACCTGTGCACCCCCCGTGCTGAGTGTGAGCACACGCCCCTGTGCTCACACCCAGCACTGCCCACCCCCGTGTGCCAGCACACACGCGCTGCTCACACCTGCCTGCACACACACCTGTGCACACACACCTGTGCACACACACACACACACACACACCTGTGCACACACAGCTCACACCTGCCTGCACACCAAGCACACACCTGTGCACACACACACACACACACCTGTGCACACACACACACACACACACACCTGTGCACACACAGCTCACACCTGCCTGCACACCAAGCGCACACACACACCTGTGCACACGCTCTGCTCACACCTGCCTGCACACCAAGCACACACCTGTGCACACACACACACACACACCTGTGCACGCACACACACTGCACACACAGGGCTCACACCTGCACACACACCCAGCTCACACCTGCACACACCCAGCTCACACCTGTGCCTGCACACCTGCGTACCTGCAGGACACCCCTCAGGGACAGGTGACACACTGAGGGGCACCGGGGGACACAGCAGGGGGACAACGGGGATGGACAGGGCCAGACCCCACCCCTGGAGCACTCACCCCTCCCTCCCACCGCGCCCGGTGTCACCGCTGGGGTCACAGCTGTCACACGTGCAGATCAGACGCATCACGGGCACCAAGGGTATCAGAGGTGCCAGGGACACCAGGGGCACCAGAGGTGTCAGAGGTGCCAGGGGCACCAGGGGTGTCAGAAGTGCCAGGGGCATCAGGGGTATCAGAGGTGCCACGGGTATCAGAGATGCCAGGGACACTAGAGGAATTATAAGTGTCACACCTGCCAGGGGAATTAGAGGTGTCACACCTGCCAGGGGCACCAGGGGTATCAGAGGTGTCACACGTGCCAGGGACACCAAGGGTATCAGAGGTGCCAGGGACACCAGAGGAATTAGGGGTGTCACACCTGCCAGGGGCACCAGGGGCTATCCCAGGCACCATCCATGTCCGGGAGTGGCCCCGGGGGTGCCAGGGGGGTGCTGGGGGTGGTCCCGGGGCTCCTACCTCTGGCTGAGAGCTTTTTGGTGTTGATGATCTTCGCGGCGTACTCATGGCCGGTGCAGAGCTTGACGCAGCGCCGGACGACCGAGAAAGCTCCCCTGGGGAGGGACGGGCTCAGCACGCCCCGCAGCACCCCGGGGTGCGTGGGGGGGCCTCCCACCCGTGACTCAGCACCCCGGGGCAGGGGGCTGCGCCCACCGTGACTCAGCAGCGGGGGGTGAACCCCGGCACGGGTGGGAGGGAGGCCCTGGCACACGGGGCCCTGCCGGGGGGGCACCGGGGGGTGGCAGGGCGGAGGGGGGGGCTCGGTGCCACGCAGCACCGCGGGAGGGAGGGGGGGGTCGCAGGAAGGATCCAGCACCGGCAGCTCGTTGCCATGGGAACAGTGGGTGGCCCGGATGGCAGCAGTGGCCGTGGTGGCGGTGATGGTGATGATGGTAGTGGCGGTGGAACAGGGGCACAGGACCCAGCTCCGAGTGTGGACAGCCACCAGCTGTCCCCCCCCCCCAGGGACAGGGACAGAGATGAGAAGAGCAGGGTCGTGCCCGTGCCAGGCAGAAGCACCGGCAGCCCCTTCAAGTGCCACCAGCTCCTGTCCCCCCTCCAGGAGCCTTGTCCCTGCCTGTCCCCTGCCTGGCAGGCCCCTCCCTTGCTGGGCACGCACAGGAGATCCCCAAAACAGGCTGGGGACAGGGCTGAGAGCAGCAGCACCCCAGGCCTGCCACGCGTTGGGAGCTGCGTGGGACGTGTGCCCCGGGAAGGGTTCAGGGCCTCTGCTGCCACCGCCCCGTGTCCCCATGTCCCCAGCACCGAGGGCCCCGTGCTGGCCCCAACACTGGGGACCCTCTCACCACCAGGGGAGCAGAGGGGGTTCCCAAGTCCCCGACCCCTCCCTTCCCCATGTGGCACCCAGGGCAGGGGGGACACGGTGGGTGCCAGTCCCTGAGGGGGGGCACACCGCTGTGGCCCGAGCCGTGCCTCAGTTTCCCCCCGGCGAGAGCAATCCCCCCCCAAGCCCGGAGAGGGGGGGACACATGCGCGATGGCTGGCAGGCTACACCGGGAGATGGGAAGGGGGAAACAGGACCACGTTGCCATGGCAACCAGGATGGGCTGGATTTTGGGCAGACCGAGAGAACAGCCCCCGATTGGCACCGTGTTCCCCCTGCTGGCACCCCCAGAGGGACTACAGCCCCCCGACCTAGGCAGGTGGGGGTGCACCCCCCCAAAAAAGCTCTGACCCCCTCCTGCTCCCCTCATTTTACCCCCAGCCCGTGCATGGGGGGGAAACTGCAACCCCCACGGCCTTGGGGGGCAAATGAATCCCCCCAAAATCGGCCCCTCTTCAGCTCCCCACAACACCCACCCGAGGGGGCCACGATGGGGGGGCACGGCTGGGGGGCTTGGAAGGATTCAGGGCAGAAGAGGGGCCCTGGGAGGCTTTAGGGCCCGGGGGGGCCCGGGAGGGCTGGAGTCTGTAAGGACCCGAAGGGGGAGTGGATTTGGGGAGTTATATAAGGCCCAAAAGGGTCTAATAGGGGATGGGGGGAGTATGGTCTGAAAGGAGCAGAGGGATGGGGGGAATGGGGGGGTTCTGTGGAGATGGGGGAGAGTCTGTGGAAATGGGGGGGCTGAGGGATGGGGAAATCCATCAGGGTGAGGGGCAAAGGGGGCTCTGAAAAGGGAGGAGATCTAAAAGGAGCAGGTGCCTATAAATACTCAAGGATGGTCTGGAAAATGGGGGGCGTCTGCAGGGGGCTGTAAGCACCAGGTGGGAGCTTTGGGGGGATCTGGAGGGATGGGGATCTATAAGGAGCAGGGAACTTGGGGGGTGGTCTGTGGGGATGAGGGGGTCTGTGAGAATGGGGGCAAGGGGGGCTTTAAGGACTGAGGGGGTCTGCAGGAGGCAGGGGCAGGATTAGGTGTGCTGGGAGAACCTGTGAAAATGGTGGGGAGGGGTTGGGGGGTCTGCAAGGATGGAGTGCCCACAGGGTCAAGGGCAGCTGTAAGGACTGAGTGAGTGGGGGGTCTCCAGGGATGGGGGATTGGGGACTGCAGGGCACCGGGAGGGCTGGAGGAGGGGTCTGGGGTCTCAGGGCTGGCCGATGAGGACACACCAGGGCAGCCTAAAGGTGGGGGTCCATAAGGATTGGGGTGGGGGGGGGGATGCGTCACGTCTGCACCGAGCGGCTTCCCGACCCCCACCCCCCCCAACCGGGGCCGGAGCCGGGACCGGGGCCGGTTGCCGCCGCCCTTACTTGCCGATCTCCTCGTAGAGCTGGTACTCGTCGGTGAAACGGGTGCAGGGCACGGTGGTGGCCATGCTGCCGCCGCGGCGCGCCGCAATGAGCCGCCCCGGCACCGGCTCCGCTCGGCTCCGGCTCCGCCCGGCGCGGGGGGGCGGGGGGAGGCGNCCGCCCCCCGCCCGGGATCCCCCCCGGCCCCCTCCGCCGGGCACCCCCACCTCGAGCTGCCCCCGCGCGCCGGGGGATCCCCCCTGGATGCACACTGCCAGACCCCGCACCCCAAAGCCCGGGACCCCTTTATCCCAAATTACCCCCGGCAGTGGGTAATGAACCCCCAGCCCTAAAGGCCCCGTATCCCGACGTCCTTTCCTGGGTGTCCCCCCACAAACAGCCCCGTGGCCAGACTCCCCCCAAGACCCCAAAGCCAGACTCGCATCCACACTCCCCGCAACAGGACCCAGATCCTCTTAAAAATCTTACCCCCCCCAAAAAGGACCCCAAACCCGCACCCCCTCCGGACCCCATATTCTCCCCTAAAAAGCCCCAATATGCTATAACCTGCTCAGAGACCCCCCATCCACACCCTGCCTTCTCCCCCTCGGGGAATCCCCCCCTGTTCCCCCCAGCACCCAGCTCCCTCCTCCCGCACCAATGTCACCCCAAACAACCCCTCCAGCTCCAACCCCTCCCCAGGCAAAACACCCGGGAGGGGTCGGGGCGGGACAGAATCGCCCCCCCGCCTCCCCCAAGGGCACCTTGAAGCCCCCCGGTGCCAGCGGCGTGGCGCGGGGGTGGATTTTGCTGCGGGGGACACACGAAAAGGCCACCCCGGAGGGCAGCAGCAGCACCCCGGGGTGTCCCCCCCATCATCCCGGAGGGGTGGGTGGGTGGGTGGGCGGCGGGCGGCTGGCGCTGCCGTTGCCATGGGGACCGTGGGCGGCCGGGGGGGGCCCGGTGTGCGCATCGGCACCGGGAGATGCCGGCACCGGTGCAGGGGGAGAGAGGGGTGGGCGACACCTCGGGGGTGGTGTCCCCGCAGCACCCACCCCGTGAAACCCAGCCAGCTTTGGGGGATCCCATAGGCACCCCCTCAGCCCCAAGGACGCAGAAATGCAGCATTTCTCCCCAGGGATCTCATACCACACCCCCGAGGAACCCATAAATCCGGGGCATCCTACACCCAGCCCCTCCCAGGGATCGCAAAACTCACTCCCTCCACCCCCAGGAATCCTATAGCCACACCCTGAAGGACCCCCAAATTCTGCTCTCCCCACATCCACCACAACGCCCACCCTGGTGTGGGAGACAGACAGACAGACAGACATCCCGGTGTCCCCGTCCTTGTCCCCTAAGTGAGGTGATGGAGAATGGGGACACTCAATCCCCCCGGTGGCACCGAATCACTCCGAGGCCCCACGGTGACATGTGTTTATTGCAGACAGGGGTGGGGGGGTGGGCAATGGCCGGGGACCCCCAGCCCACACACCCCAGGGTGGGGGGCTGGTGGGAAGCTGTGAGAGCCAGGCTGGGCTTGCTGGGGCCTCCTCTGCCAGGCAGTGCCCACTCTCAGACCCCTAAGTTCCCCTAAGCCAGGGAAACCCGTATGTCTCAGGGGCTCCTGCCCAGCTGCTGGCCACGAGGGGTGGGCCTGCAGCCCCCCCAAAATGCCAGGGCTGTGGGGAGCACCCCTGCTGCTCCCTGGCACAGGGGGTGCAAACCCCAGGGGATGGCTGTGGTCTCTGCCCACTCCCGGGTGTCCTGACAAGCCTCCAGCGAGGAGGTGAGGGAGGGGGAAGGCAGGAGAAAGCCTCCCCCGGGGCTGGGCAGAGGGCAGGGCCAGCACAGCCCCCTGGGGACACCCTGGGGTGGGGCTGGAGAGGATTTGGGGGTGCCAGGTGGGCAGGGTGCTGGCAGAGGCAGGCAGGGGCAGGCTCCCCCATCCCCACTGCCCACCCCCAGCACCCATCTCCACCTGTGAGGGGCAAAGCTGCCCAGTGCCAGGGCAGGGAGAGCTCCACATCCCCAGAAACCCCAGAAGCAGCATCCTCCTCCACCAAAACCAGTAATTATATCACCCAACACGCTCCCTCTATTCCAGCAGCTCGAGGTGAGGGGAGGGGAGAGGAGGGGAGGAGAGGGGTCCTGGCGCCCAGGTTGCCGTGGTGACAGGATGTAAATCTGCCCACTTGCTCAGGCATCCCCACACAGCACGGATGGGTGCTGGCAGCGTGGATCAGTGAGTCCCGGGCACCGGCGCTGGCTGTGAGGGTCCTGGTGGGCATCCAGGGGCCGGCAGGTCGCCTCTCCCCGCTTTATTTTTCAAGTTGTTTTTTTTGCCACTGTCAAAACTGGACGGCGCCGGGGGAGATGTTGAACATGGAGGGGTCGAATTTCTGGCCGCGGAACGGCGAGCCCTCGGTGTCCCAGCCCTTCTTTAACATCTCGTGCACCTTCTGCAAAGAGGCTCCCGTCAGCGCGGGGTGAGGCCACGCTGCTCCCCACACCCTGCAGCCCATCCCACAGCCCTGTCCCCCTTCCTCCCTGGCTGGCAGTGGTCATTGCCAAGGGCACACAGCACTTCTGTGCCTGGGGAAGGGCAGCCAGCATCCAGGGCAGCTCCATGTGGGCCAGTTTGGGAGGGATGCAGGGATGTGGGGCCCATCCCTGGCACAGGGTGTCTGGGCTTACAGGGTACCAGGAAGGGGAAGACAGGAGTGCATGGCAAAAGATCAATCAGCAGAACCTCACCCCCCAAATTTTGTTGTGGGGGGACACGTGAAGAGGAGCTCTGAGATGGAGCAGAGCCATGGGGCTGCTTCTCCTGGGGATGGGACCCTTGAAAGGCAGGTGGGAGGGCCAGGCTGGGCTGGTGGCACAAGGTAGCCAGCACCTACCAGCTCGTGGCTCTGGGGCTTGCCCTGCAGCTTCTGGTGGTAGTCAAAGGTGAGGCGATCCAGCACGGCGTGCTCCTCCTCGTCCACCGTGGCCATGGAGCGCTCCTTGTTGATCTTGTCAATGTCGATCTGCTCCTCGCCCTCCAGGATGGCGTTCCACCAGTACTCATCCCCCTTGTTCAGGCTGATCTGGGGACAACGTGGGGGTCAGCCAAGGGGGAGAGGAGCCCCCGTGCTGCCCAGGTGGGACCCCTGCCCACCTCACAGCTCCACGGCAGGGGTGCAGAGCTCTGACAGCAGCACGGCGCTTGCCCACGAGTGCAAGTCAAGCTCCTACTAAGCCTCACAGCTGGCAGAGGGGGAGGGATGCTTGTGCCTCCCTCCCTCAGCAGCCAAAGGCTTTGCACAGCCCTGCTGTGGGCCCCCACAGCCCCGAGGAGGAAATCTCAGCCCACGCTACGGCTCAAAGTCAGGACCAGTGTGCCCAGCAGTGCCTGCCTGGGGGTGACACTGGCCCGGGGCCACACGGCTGACACAGCAGCAGTGACAGAGCCCAGGACTGCTGGATGAGGAGGCTGTGTCCAGTGGAGTGTGGGGCCAGGGCTCCTGGTGTGGCAGTGCAGCCATTTTGCCTTTCCCTAACCTAGAGGGAACCTTGGCCTCCCCTGGCACTGGCTGGGTGGGTGGCATGGGAGGCAAGGACATCACCTGCTGCCCTGTGCCACCCCTGCTGAGTGCCAGCACCTGCTCCCCGTGGCACCACAGCTCAGCAGCAGCCCTGGAGGGGTGGACGAGGACAGGGATGTCTCCCTGCTCCAGCCAACATCCTGACTGGGAAAAGCCACCTGCTGTAGTCACAGGCATCCCGATGGCAGTGCCATGCACAGAGCTGGCAGGGCAGCAGGGCTGTGCTGGGCCACCATGGGGCATCCTGCAACGGGAACTCCAACTTAAAGCTTTTTAGCTTTTCCAGGAAGAGTGGGCTGCTTCCTCCCCTGTTATTTCAGCACTAATCCCAGCAGCAGGGCAGATTTATGGCATTCGTCGGCCTCTGCAAAATCATCAATAAAGGCAGACAATACAATTTGCTCAAACCTCCCAGGAAGCTCAATAGCTCCGGAGGGGAGAACACGGACAGCCATTCCTGTTACGGAGCCAAGCTTCTCTGTGGTGTGAAGAAAAGGAACCAATTAATACAGGAGGGGGTGGCTGGGGTTTAATCCTTCTGGGAGAGCAGAGCCGGTAAAATATTCCAGCTTGGGGAAGGCGTTAGTTTTTCCAGCTAGACAGGCATGCTTGTTCTCTTTTTAATTGCACAGTTCCACTTTGGAGGGGAGGGAGAGCCACCGAGGGTTTGCTCCTGGGCTTCCCAAGCCTGGGTGGGCAGGTGGGGGAGAGGAGGAGCCCCCAGAACGTCACCCTGAGGCAGAAAGCAAAGGGAGGGGCAGCAGCCTCGACTGTCCACCCTTGCAGCAGGAGCAGCCTTCAGGCTCCTCAGGTTTGGAACATGAGGGATGACCCCGTGGTGCTGCTGGCAAGCTGTGAACTTCCCCAGCTCTGCCTGGTGGGTCCCAACGGGGCAAAAGCCCAGCTGGGTCTTTTGGGGTGCACAGGGAGGCAGGAACAGCCTCTGCAACAGTGGCCTGAGGAGAGGGAGGCTTGCAGGAGGCATAACCCCTGCTGTAGCTGAAACAGTGTCCTCACGTGTCCAAGATATGAGCTCTCAGGATGGGCTGTTCCCTGGAAAAACACCAGGGCAATGATGGAGTGCAAGGAGGATTGCTGCAGGGACAATGGGACACTCGGCAGGACAGACCCTCCAGCAGGTGACAGCAGGTGACAGGCACCACTGGCATGGACAGAGTCACGTCCCATGTCCACACCCCACTGGGAAGGTCACAACCCCTCACTGTCAGTGCTGGGCTTCACAGCAGCACAAGATTTCCTCTTTGATGCCAAATGCCTTGTCAAACCTGGAGAGATGCTGCCAAGGGGTGTAAGTAGGTCTTGGGAGGACAACCTCTACCTGCTGGCTTTCCTGTTGGAACCACAGCAGCCAAAGTCACCTCCAAAGTCACTGTGAGGGTTTAGGGGCACAGAGGAGGCAGCAATGCCATTCTCAGCAGTAGGGGAGGGCAGGGCTGAGCACCACTGAACTGCACCCCTCAGCCTCATGGCTCACACGATGGCAAGCAAGACTGCAATCAATGTTCAAGGCAGGACTTGCTGACAAAAGCCCAAGCGTGGAAAACAAAGGCTGAGAGGAAGAGAAAAA